ATATATATATAGCATCGCGTACTCAGATCAATTGGTCGAGCATCTGCTTTTCAGTTGTAAGTCTTCTCTGGTCTGGGATTCGATTACCCCCAAGTGTAGAATATGGTACTCGAATTATAGACGCACGAGAGATGACCGGTGCTCGTATTATCATTCAGTCATTTCTTTAATATATATATATATATATAGCTTATTATTTTTCGAATGAATAATTATGAACATCATTATATTATAAATCATTATAAAATAATAAAATTTTGTATCTTTTTTGTCATGTAATATTATTGCCATAAAACGCTGAGATGAGGTGATATTGGTTATGTTAATATTATATTGGGCCATTTACACACATACCACACAATTCTTACATATTTACATATTTAACATCTAAACATGCATATTTACATGCATACCACATAAAAATACCACAATCTTGATTTTTCTAAAAGTAAAGTATACTTTTTCATGCATATGTTTACGATAGCAATATGCTATTAAGTGTAAATATCAAACTTTGGATGTTAAATATGTAAATGCATAAGAATTATGTGGTATGTATATAAATTTCTGTGTTATATTTGTTGAACAAAAAAATGTTCGAATCCCACCCAATGAATAAAGCACAGGTAATATGATAACTAATGAACAATAAAATCAAGCTTCCATCCCCCTTTTTTTACTCATAATGAGTTTTCTATTTATAGGTAAAGGAGATACATCCGTACATATTTTCCTTTATGCCCCCACTGTATAAAGGAAAATCAAGGGTATTAAAGTCAATTATCAGATACTTCAAAATATGTTAAATAAATATCTGTTGACAACGAAGACTCTTTGCTCATTAGCTCATCCTTGTTCATTCGTCTCGAACGGGCAGAATCATGAGAGGATAATATGAGAGCTTCTCGTTCAATCTTATCTACGACTTCTTCTAAACTCTCCTTCACCAGCCTCGCCCTCGAGGTGATAGATAGTTCTTCATTTGGCTGGTCTTACAGATATCTTTTGTTCGGCTTCAATCTGAGCTATCTAGCTATCTAGTTAAACAACTTAATGGGATTTTGTGCCGATCTTTTAACTCGAACACCAATTTTGTGAGTAACCCAATTTAGTTTTGCTAATTATTATTGACTCATTTTGGTTGGGGACCCACTTCGCTGGCCGTGTTGCTTATCCCTCTATTGACATTCGTGTTTCACCAAATATGATCAAACATATTTAGTTTCACAACTTTATCATTTTCTGAAAGTGATAGCTATGAGAAAAACCTAAAAGCTGAACGCCGCATTAAATGCAAATTTAATTAATATTTTGAACACAACATTTAATAATTAAATTTTCTAAATTTTTGTGCACTGTTGCTCTATAAATAATTTGTCGTCAGGGATTGTAGCACTAGAATTTTTGCTTTGTTTGAGAAAAAAATATTACTTCAGGAGTATTGATGCATCATTACTCCAATGATGAGGTGTCATGTATGCAATGGTCTCACCGTGGCGCCTCGTGACACTCCATCATTGGAATAGTGATTCATCAATACTCCTGAGTTAATATTTTTAGGCTTTTGATGGTCTTCTTCACGGACGCTTTGATGGCAAGTGAAAAGAAAGGGTTTGCTGGAGGAAAAATTATTCCATGCGGATCCGATGCGTGCGGTGTCCGATCCTGACCGTAAATAATCTGATTTACGAATATATTTCGGTGAGCCCCACTTAAATTTTTTTTTTAAAAAAAAAAAATGAAATAATACTAAACTTCAGTATCGACACAGGGCGCCCCCTTGCACACTTCTGCGGAGAGGCATCCATCATACTCATATCAGTTCGTTCGGCGAGCGTTGAAGACGCCCCGAAAGACAATCAGCCTGCCAAGAAAAGAAACATAAAACAATTAGTTGTTAAAAGGGTTTTCTCAAGCGAATGTGACAATGAGAGGAATTTGTTGGACGAGGTTCCGTTGGAGTATCGGAGACATGGGAAGGGTTCGGGCGTCATCCTTGCACGGTCGCTGGACGTTCAAGCCGAGCGGATGGAAGAGGTGCTTGGCGGATTCCTTGAAGTACACTACCTATGGGCTGATAGAGCTGCAGGTGTTCCAGCTGCTCCTGGTGAGAGTTCCTCGTCTTTGCTCTAGTCCGAAGTGGATGGACTCCTTGGTAGGAGTATGATTCCTGATTTATTTGTGAAAATTGTTATTTAGCATCCCCTTATTTCACTTTCTTGTGCAGTCGACCTGATTCCTGTTTCTGACTCGCCAGAGGCCTGACTAGGTTAAGCGTCGACTCCTTGGAAGGTCGTGGGAGATCAGTCGGCAGCAGCCGAAAGGGAGTCAACTGACTCTGTGGTTCTTTTGTTGTGGTTTAAGAATTAGGGCATTGTATAAATAAATATAAAATATATACAAATACATAATAATTCAATGACATGCACAAAAATTTTACTTAGTATGTTTATGATTTTATATTTTGGCAAAAGTATATTTATATTCGAATTAGTCATAAAACAAATTTAGGTACTTTTGGGTCTTAAGAATGGCCAAAATCATCCTCATTGGTATTGAGATATACCTCATTTCAAACCCAGGGTTTGTGCTATTATGCTCATATTGAAGCACCTGTTTGGCAATCAGAAATTTTACCATTAAAACATTTAGGGACATTTACATACATAGCACACAAAGCTTACACATTTACATATGTCACACTAAAACTTTCATATTTACAGACACAACACTCAAATGTCTAATATCACATAAATAATAGCACTATTACCACTTCTTAAAGTGAAATACACCTTTTAATACACAGGTTTAAAGCATCAAAGTGCTATGCATGCAAATATGAAAGTTTGGGTGCGAGATATGTAAATATATAAGAATTGTGTGCTACTCGTGTAAATTCTACATTATTTTTAAGTAAATATATGATTTATGGGATTCAATTTAGTATTATTATTACTTGTATGAAAGTTTGGGTGCGAGATATGTAAATACATAAGGATTGTGTGCTACTCATGTAAATTCTACATTATATTCAAGTAAATATATGATTTATAGGATTTAATTTATTATCATTATTTGTAGAGATTTTATTGTTCTATTCAAACCTATTTTAAATCATCTTCATAGCCAAAAATATAAACTCAATATTAGTACTTTCATAATCCCCCAACAACAATTGAAACTTGTTGGTTCTTCCAACAACCATACATACATAATAAAATATATACATATAATTCTAAGGTAATAATCATAACAATTCAACATTCACATTTCACCATGATGAGCATTTTATGTCTCATATAATTTTGCTATTTTTGTAACTTTTTGGTACTCAGAAGATCTACTGACTTCAGTCTTCAACCAAAGATTAGATTGAGGATTTCAGCCAACCGAACTCCAGCTTGAGCTAACCTTAAATCTACTACCGGCAATCTGCTGTAGAAATATTTATCTGCAAAAACCACTTTTCTTATTACATTTTCATTTTATGTCTCATATAATTTTGCTATTTTTGTAACTTTTTGGTACTCAGAAGATCTACTGACTTCAGTCTTCAACCAAAGATTAGATTGAGGATTTCAGCCAACCGAACTCCAGCCTGAGCTAACCTTAAATCTACTACTGGCAATCTGCTGTAGAAATATTTATCTGCAAAAACAACTTTTCTTATTACATTTTTCCCCACATTATATTAAATATATAAATATATGCAAAAAATATTTCAGACTTTATGAAACTTCACAAACCTTCAAGCACAGAACCATTCGTGGCATCTTTGTATGCCCATTCACATGCTGCGCTGATGCTCTCAGATGCATATCTATAAATTAAACAATAATAAATAAATAGATTAGAAGTTTTGAAATCATGTGCATGCATGAGATTTGAATTTGATATGTGGAAATTTATTAGCTTGTTCATCATCATGGTTTTGGCATTTAGAACATTTGAATCTTTCATATTTGCGTTAAAAATATCATTTTTACAAATTTCTCACAAGTGATACACTTTTCCCTGTTGCAGCATAAAAATTTCTCTGCAAAGAATAAGAGGATCATACATGTCGGGACATGCGATCAAATTTCCGCTGCAATTTTGCCATTTCGATTTTTGGCTTGACCACTTTCCCTGTAATTCATTGACATGAACATAGAAAAATGAGACCAAACTCTTTTTCCCTGTTGCAGCATAAAAATTTCTCTGCAAAGAATAAGAGGATCATACATGTCGGGACATGCGATCAAATTTCCGCTGCAATTTTGCCATTTGGATTTTTGGTTTGACCACTTTCCCTGCAATTCATTCACATGAAACATAGAAAAATAAGACCAAAATCTTAAAAAGGTGAATTTTGCAATTTTAAGATTTTATACTGCGATGTCTTACTGTAATATTTTGCCTGAGATCTTCAATATAATCAACTACATCAGAGCTGTAGAAGTCATCTTCAGCTGTTTCAACTATACTGGAATCCCAAACCTGTATTTTCAACACATTTTATATGTGTCAAATCCCAAATTATGCCTGCAATTCCTATGTATTTACATATCTAACTACTAAACTTTACTTTTTGCACTTATACCATCGAAACCTTTCATATGACATCAAAACCACTATTTTAACTTCAGAAAAAAATGAAAAACACATTTTCATGCATAGGTAAGGTGGCATATATGTTACAAATTGAAGTTTAGATGTTAGATATGTAAATACATAGGAATTGACCGGTATCTATGTAAATATTTAAAAAAAAAGAATAAGAAAAATTGATGATTTTTATCATACTCACATGATGCAGCACTGTACTTTGGGTATACCAGTGGACATCAATGGTGTTTCCTCCTTCATCTGAGGTATGTCCTACATGCAGAGGCTAAAACATATTGCAGCATTATTTTTTTTTTCTCATTTTTGATTACTTTAAAAATAAGGTTTTTTTGAATTAAATTCAGACACCTGATGAATGTCTCCCATAAAATGGGAAAGGAACAACAGAGCCTGTGTAAGATTATCTGAGCACAAGATTATTCAACTCAATGAGTCACAACTCAAAACAATAGCTATTCAATTAAAATTTGGGGCATTTTCATGAATACCACCCAATTCCTATGTATTTACATATCTAACACCTGAACTTTTAACATTTATACCACCAATATCCTTCATATGACATAAAAAACTCCACCTTTTTACTTTTAAAATGTGAAATACAGTTTTTTAAGATGATATATATATGTGTAAAAGTTGAAAGTTTCGGTGTTAGATATGTAAATACATAGGATTTGAGCTGTATGCATGTAAATATTCCTTCAAATATTTGGTTTTGTTTACATTTTCCATCATCCGAAGAGTTTCTGTATGTAAGAAGCTGATTTGTGTAGTTAGTGATGGCTCCTCCTACACATCTTCCTAACACTCCATTTTCATCTTTACAGTCTCCTGCTTAGTAGGAAAAGAAAAGGGGAGAATTTTATGGTTAACAATTTTAATTTTGTTTTTATTTTATTTTTTGAAAAATAAAAAATAATAATAATAAAAAAAAAAAAAAAAGAATTTGAGGAAGGGATGAAGAGATTTACTGGTGTAATTGTAGGTGCAGGTATCGTCTGGTACATTGATGTAGTGGAGTTCTGAAGACCAAGTATATCTGAACCTTACATGATCTGCCCATGAACATAAGCTGCTGAGATTGTTCTTGGCATGGTCTGGGAGCAGTTCATTTACTCTATCTGCTGCTGCTTCGCTTAATTGTTCCTGCAATGTTCAACAAACATTTCACCCTCGGTGGAAACAAGACATGCAAATTCATAAAAATTGTGTGGTATGTATGTGAATTTTTCAATGAAGAATCACATATTTAAGCCTAGAGAGAGAGAGAGAGAGAGAGAGACTAACTTGGGCTATTTGACAAACTATGTAGTGGCCATCAGTGCCCCATCCATGGCTAAGAGGAGGAAGAAGGGAGAAGACTGAAAGAAGAATAGTTGCTATGTGGAGCCGGGAAGCCATGGAAGAATGGAGGTGAGGGAGAGGGAAGAGGGAGAAAGTTGTGTGAAAAGGCAGCACTGATATTTGGTATATAAATGTAAAGTGTAGATTTGCACGTAATAATTAAATAATAAATGAGACCGTTGATAAGGAAAGTAAATAAGTATGAATTAAATAGAGAAAATCTGCCGAAATTAGGAAGGGGCTTTCACATAGGAACGGTTTCAACAACTTTCTTCTATTTTTTTTTTTAATTAAGAAAATGTTAGCGTATATTCTGATTTAAATAAGATGTAGACATATTATATTGATATTCAATTCATTTTTAGTTTAACGTAAGCTATGTTTGCTTGCGTTGCGCGATACACTTGATCGTAGAGATTTTTTTTCCCTCTTTATCTGTTGCGATCGTTGAGTCTCAATCATTGTCCGAACACAGCTCTACGTTCGAAGAACATGCACACAAATTTTTCGTCTTTTAGATCATCACTACAAGGGCGATGTGGCCATTAATATATATATTTTTTAAATCAAAGCTGTTGCTTCAAATAGCTATAGCTATCCCAAACAAACTATAAGAAAGAGCTCATTTTAAACAAAGTGTTTGATAGAATTATTTAAGAATAGTCCGAAACAGTTTGTTTTTTTCTTTTTTATTTTAAATTTTGGGAGATCATGCTGTGCTTTGTTAACTAGAAAATGGCATGGGAATTTAGAAGAGTAGAGCATCAAAATATTCTCTAGCTATTTACATTTAAGCCCTTGAATTTAGTCTAACTTGATTAGTCAAAATATTCATTTTAGTCCTTGAAATTAAAAAAAAATGTTAAATTAATTCCTATATCATTCAATAGGAGCTTAGAAAGTCCACAACATAGATTATTTCAACTCTTATTAAAGATTTGAAAACTATGAAAAAAACGCCATAATCACATTCCGTGGGGTCGGCAATTCATGTCAATATTTTTTTTCGACAAGTTTTACGTTAGTTGTCGACTAACAACCATCCACTTTTTATCTTCGAGCTTAAGACCGGCAATGACAGTGTTATATGAAAAGAAAATTATATTCAAACTTTAACCCTTGAAAAATATGATACATATTACATTTATCATTTTGGCGGGTCAAGTATACAATTAAACGATCCGTAACTGAAACAAAATCTGAATAATAACTATATACAATAATGCCGGTTTAATACCGACTTGCAGCACTTGACTAAATAAGCTTTTTGCAGTTAGCAGCTCATTATGAAGAAGGCGAGATTGGAGCATCTCAAAAGGTAATATTTCAATGTTGGCAGAGAAATTATGGGAACACAGCCCAAAACGTTGAAACAAACGCACTCTAAGAAACCAAAAACAAAAAAACTTCTCAGTAATTTACAAAGCCTGTGTTCTTTTGAGCTTTTCCCAATATTGATTCTATATCTCCTTCAAATAGGTTGAGATTTTTAGCCAGAGCAAAGCCACAGTAGATGCCATCAACGGCAGCGCTAATTATGCCTCCAGCATGGCCAGCACCTTCTCCAACTGGGTATAATCCCCTCATGGATGTGCTCTCGTATGTATCCGTGTTGCGTAGAATACGGACCGGAGAGCTCGTTCGTGTCTGCGTGATACAAATTTGAAGCATTTACATTT